CAACCCTAAAGTAAATATCACTATAACCTTAGTAGGGACTGTGGTAGGATTTGAATCAGTTCACATTTAAGGTAAACCTACTTAATCTGGATTTTCTGAAATAATATGAGAATAAAAACACAGCCATCTTTTGAAGCGAGCATATCTCTAAATGCAGGTTTCCATACATGTATAAAAACCAGAGATTTTTTAAAAATGCATATACTGTACTGGAATAAAGTCTCCAAAAGAAATGCATAATTAGTGAAGTAAAATACCAGATTGCATTATATTATGGGAAATCACTTTACAAAAATGGGTACATTAGGTAAATTGCATACAAACATGGATATTAGGAGACGTTCATATGAAAATACTGGTGAATTTTCGTGACCTTTTTTAAAAAAATGCCAACGGATGTGGAAATGTGGAGAACTCAACTTTAGATTGGAAAAATGGAGAAATAGAGAGCAGCCCAAACTGAGAAATGTGCCCATTGGTATACCTGAAGTACAAAATAACATTTTAATAAATAATATGAGTTAATAATTGGTTCTATTTCCATTGTTGGTATCAATGCCATGCCCAGGTTTGCCGTGCCAAACTTCTGGGAGGCTTGAAAGAATTCTTAGGGAAATGGGAGGCAGCGGAAAAGGCTCACATTTAAGACTTCTTGTGGCTCAGAGTTCCATAGACTTTGAAATATGAAGATTAAAGAAGCACAAACATCCACTTCGGCTTATATACAATGGGACTGAAGGACCTGTTTCCCTATGGTGGTGGCAGCGAAGGGAATATTTCTCTATAGTTTCCTAGGTTATCAATATAATTTTGATGGGCAAAGGGTGTCGTCCTATTCAGCAGATATTCTGGGAAGAACAGCAGAATAGTGCGAAAATACTCTCACGAAGCATAGTGTATCCCTGATGAGGGATACACCATAACATTCTCATTGCAGTGTTGTGTCAAAGAACTACCAACACCTTCTGGCCTTGGTGTTTGCTGTCAAGGAGATAAATGAGAATCCCAAGATCTTGCCTAATATCACATTGGGATTCCACATCTATGACAGTTACTTCAATCGGAGGATGACTTGCCAGGCCACTCTGGGCCTTCCTTCCACACACATACCCAACTACAAGTGTGACATCCAGAAAAATCTGGTGGCAGTGATTGGAGGGCTTGACTTTGATACCTCCCTCGACATGGCAACCATCTTGGACATCTACAAGATTCCCCAGGTAAGATACTGATTTGGGGGTGTCACAACTGTTTCACCATTATTATCTTTTCCTCCTCAAAAAGGTTTTGTACAGCTGGGAGAAATATGTGACTGGTGTGAAAGGATAATCCCAGAACGTGGTCCTATCTGGTTTGTTTATTCCTGAGGTTGCCTTGGTTTTGACCGGGGGGGGGGGGTGTGCTGTGGGTGGGTCCGCAATGCATTACAAATCTGGGAGAAGTGTGAATTTCAAAGGATAGCTGTGTTTCAGTTTACACATTGTTTGGGAAACGTAACCTAGTTAGATTTGCCTTTTCATATGAACTGAATAAAAAATAATAATCCCCAACCTTACGTTGAGAATTTCCATTCCACCTTAAGGAGCAGATGTGTGGAACTGTTGCATGTCACATGTCTGTTTACATTCCAGCACAGCTTGCTGGGAACTTCCGTTGTGTGTATTGCTTTTGCTTTGCTCTGTCTCTCTGAGAAGACAGAGAGAGAGACGACATGTTTCTTTGTCCTGATTTATGATTAATAAATCTATAGTTATAGTATGCTTTCACAAGCCTCACACCTATTCTGTGTGTGCAGTTCGATCTGCTGATAGTGTGCCCTGGCTTTGAAGCCCGGGTCGCTGATTTACGTCGGAGCAGAGGCCGATGGGTCTTTGCAGCGGGACGGCTGGAAGGAGACAGCCCAGCTGGGGCTAGCCAGCTGGCCTTATGGCCCTCGGCATGTCGACACCCTATTGCTGCCACTGCAACTCCAGATGTACATACCAGTTTCTTTTACTAGTTAAGGAATGTGCCCCTTCTTTTCCTTTTAGCTCACTTATGGCTCCTTTGCTCCAGAGGTTCCTGGTCAAAACCAATCCACTTCCTTCTACTGGATGGTGCCCAATGAAGCCCACCAGTGCACTGGGATTATTGAGTTACTTCTCCACTTTGGTTGGACCTGGGTTGGGTTGCTTGCTGGAGATAATGAGAGTGGAGAAAGATTTGTGCAGACCCTGCAACATCTGTTTTCCCAGAAAGGTATTTGCTTGGCCTTCTCAGAGAGAACTCAGAAAACTAGACATTTTGAGGATTATTTTAACATGCACCACCACTGGATCCGACTCTATCAAGTGATTATGGAAAGTAAAGCCAAGGTTGTCATTGTCTATGGAGAAACAAAGTCCATGCTTGACTTTCGAACCATGGTAGCACTAGGTGAAATGGAAGATGTGAAAAAGACACCGGAAGGTAAAGTGTGGATTCTGACAGCACAGCTGGATTTCACAGCATTGAACTTCCAACTAAGGTGGGACATGGAAGTCTTCCACGGTTCCCTCTCCTTTGCTGTTCATTCAAATGAGGTACAAGGATTCAAAAGCTTTCTTCAGCTCCAGAATCCTTTAGAGGCAAATGGAAATGGCTTTCTCAGGGAGTTCTGGGAAGAGGTATTTTTCTGTTTATTTCCAGGTTTTAATACAGAGGAGAAGGCCAGTGAAGCTTGCACTGGAGAGGAGAAGCTGGAAGATCTCCCTTCATCTGGTTTTGAGATGAGCATGACTGGCCACAGCTACAGTCTCTATAATGCTGTTTATGCCATAGCACATGCTCTACATGCCATGTTTTTGTCCAGGACCAAATATAGGGGAGTGACGGAAGGAGGGGTGCAGGAGCTTCAGAAGCTGCAGTCTTGGCAGGTAATGCCTTTGAAGAGATACAATTTGTTTGACATGAGCAGGAAAATTACACCCAGCAGTGTGTAAAACATGCTCTGGAAATCACTGTTGATTATGATCCAGCACTTTTGTCAGTCAACTCCTTTCCCTTCATTATTCAGTGCAACTAATGCTCATTTTAGCTCTGTTGCATTTTCTTCATAGATTCCAAATCACCTTCCAAACTAACCATTTATTCTGCAATTGCTATCCTTTGTTCACTCATTGTTTCCCTACGCAATCTTCATGTTCATGTCTGCTGCATTCCTGTATGTGTGTGTTTGTGTGTGGCGTCTCATTTTTTTTGTAGTGCAATTTATTAAGACAACAACAACAACAACAACAAAAATGTGCTGCCCATCTGACTGGGAGGCTTGCAGCAAATTATAAAACCAAAGTAGTGCTAGAGTATTTGTTCAGGAATGTAAGCTTTTATTTGGACTTTGGGAGCTATTGTGTCTTTAACTAAAAGCTTCAACCTTCTGACTCTCGGCCTTGTAATAGTTTCCTATTCTACGGGACCATTTATTTAATCTTATTTATTAAAGATTTTCTTGGTTTACAAAAGTATGTGCAATGTCTCTCTCTGTCTTTTCAAGCAACATTTTTTTTACAGTTTCATTTGTTTTTATCAGTTTCATTTGCTGAGACATTAGGAAGAAAAGGGGGAAAGAGGTGAAGGGGGGAAAGGTGAGTGGGGGTGGGGTCGGGTGGCGATGTTTCTATTTTACTTAATATATGTGGGGTTTTGTGTCAGCGTCTCTGCTATTCACTTGTGTTTCTTTGGTGGTGAGAGAGGTTGGGGTTGGCCTAGGGTGCAGTTGTTTGTTTGTGATTGCCTGTGGTGATCGTTATTTTCATGTGTGAGTGGGGTGGGTGGGTGTTTTGGATCAGGTTAGCCATATTGATTTGTATGCCGTTGGTGGATTTTTGTCATTGTCTTGTTGGGCTGTGTATGTGATAAAGGGGAGCCATACCGGGGTGAAGGCGTCTTCTTCTATTTGTCCCCATGTCAGTTTCAGTTTATTGGTTAACTTTTCTAGTAAGGCTGTTTCCCATACTATTTGGTACCATTGGTCCATGCTTACTCCTGACAGGTCTCTCCAATGTCTGGTTATGATGTTTCTGGCTGTTGAAAGTAGGTGGGTTATGAGTTCTTTGTGTCAGTCACTTAGTTTTATTGCACATAGCCAAAGGCTGCCTCAATGTACACAGAATCATTCAACAATTAAAAGAAAATACACTGGATTAATACAGAAAACTTAAAACATTTATATTATCAAGACATTACCTACTCTAAACAGAGCTATAAAAGTACCTTAATATACAGGGTAAGACATTAAACAATAAAATTTATAGGCTAAAATCATCACATGACCACTAATATATTAAAAAAATAATGTTAATTAATACAATGTGCAATTATATTTGGAGTTTGGTGATAAAGATAGAATATAGCTTGATGCAGATAGGGTCAAATAAATTCATCTCCTTTACAGTTGGTGGCTATCTTGGCTATATAATTTGAGTTCTTTGTGGTGTAAATGTCTTGGAAGATATTTAGTAAGGCCAATTCTGGGGTGATTTCCAATACTTGCTTAGTTATTTTACATATTTCTCTCTCTCTTTTAAAAAAAATGATATTTATTAAAGTTTCAAAGAAAAGAATTACATGAATTAAAAAAAGAAGAAAAAGAAAGACAAAAATAAAAATAAAAGAAAAAATACAAAATACAAAAAATGATAAAAAACACTTTAAAAATACATCAGTCTTTCCATACCTTACATTCATTTCCTTGTTTCCCTGACCTCACGCCTCCCTTTTTGTATTCCAATTCAGTTAGTTAATTCAGCAATTTCTTTCCCTCTTTGTTTTTATCTTAGTCCTTTAACATAATATATTATAACTTTGTATTTTACATATTTCTCATATGACTGTTTATTTAAAAGATGTATTAAGCAGTTGCTGGATGGCCACCTGCCATGGATGCTTTGGTTGAGATTCCTGCATTGCAGAGGGTTGGACTAGATGACCATCAGGTCCTTTCCAACTATGATTCTAATAGTAATTTGACAGAATTCTTTCTGCTTTTCTTTCAGTGCAGCTTCACCCCTTCCTAAAGAGGGTCTCATTTAACAACAGTGCTGGAGAAACAGTTTCTTTTGGTGAGAACAGGGAAGTGGAAGCTGGATTTGATATTACCAGCATGATTACTTTTCCAAATAACTCCTTCATGAGAGTCAAGGTTGGAAGGGTGGATCTGGAGGCTGCCCCAGATCAGGAATTTTCCATTGATGGCGACAAAATAGTGTGGCACAGAAACTTTCCCCAGGTACAACATAATTTCCACACCCACAATATACCGGAAAGCACTATATTATAGTATACTCTAGAACATCAGCCCAGTGTGTCCCACACAAAGTGTGGTATATCTTTGAAGCATGTGTAGAACATGGGTAGGTAAACTAAGGCCCGGGGGTCGGATCCGGCCCAATTGCCTTCTAAATCCGGCTATCGGACCGTCCGGGAATCAGCGTGTTTTTACATGAGTAGAATGTGTCCTTTTATTTAAAATGCATCTCTGGGTTATTTGTGGGGCCTGCCTGGTGTTTTTACATGAGTAGAATGTGTGCTTTTACAGTGGTACCTCGGGTTACATGCGCTTCAGGTTACAGACTCCGCTAACCCAGAAATAGTACCTCGGGATAAGAACTTTGCTTCAGGATGAGAACAGAAATCGTGCGGCGGCAGCGGGAGGCCCCATTAGCTAAAGTGGTACCTCAGGTTAAGAACAGTTTCAGGTTAAGAACAGACCTCCAGAACGAATTAAGTTCTTAACCCAAGGTACCACTGTATTTAAAATGCATCTTTGGGTTATTTGTGGGGCATAGGAATTCGTTCACCCCCCCCAATATAGTCCTGCCCCCCACAAGGTCTGAGGGACAGTGGACTGGCCCCTTGCTGAAAAAGTTTGCTGACCCCTGGTGTAGAACTTGGAACCTATAGTTCACATTTTTGTTTTGTTAGGACTCGGGGGCCTCTCACCCAGAAAGAGCAGAGCTGGAACAGGCACACTCAGCATGTATGAGGACATTGGGGGCAAGGCTAGTGAATACAAACCCTTGACCCCTGCTCTCCAATTTCAGCCCTCATGCTTATAGCTCATTCACATTTCACTTTTCCCGTGTCTAAAAAGCATGGGCCCAAGACGTTTTCTGCATCTGCCATGCTTCCTAGGAATGGGTCCGAGAGGTTTTCCATTTGCTCTGCTGTTTTCCCCAGCAAAACACACTGAATTGGAGCAAGCATCAATCGGTGGAAAACTCAATTTATGTTTGCTCCAATTCAGCAATAGAGCAGGTTTTGGTGCTGATCTTTAAAGCCCTAAACGGCCTCAGCCCAGTATACCTGAAAGAGCATCTCCACCCCCATCGTTCTGCCCGGGCACAGAGGTCCAGCTACAAGGACCTTCTAGCGGTTCCCTCACTGCGAGAACTGAGGTTACAGGGAACCAGGCAGAGGGCCTTCTCGGTAGTGGCGCCCGCTCTGTGGAACGCCCTCCCATCAGATGTCAAGGAAATAAACAACTGTCTGACTTTTAGAAGACATCTGAAAGCAGCCCTGTTTAGGGAAGTTTTTAATGTTTGATCTTTTATCATGTTTTTAATATTCTATTGGGAGCCACCCAGAGTGCCTGGGGAAGCCCAGCCAGACGGGTGGGGTATCAATCAATCAATCAATCAATCAATCAATCACTCCAGGGGAAAGCAGCAGGAGAAGAGGAAGTGTGGACAAGCCCTGACTCTCTGAAAGATCTCAAAAGTGTTGGGTGGTTTTGGAGGGTAGGATAGGATATTATTTATTAATTATCCTTCCTCTTACTCACCTGTGTGAGTTTAATTTCCAGTTAGCAGAGTTTGAAATTTACTATACCTTTGAAGCACAAAATGTGATAACTTCTGGGACAAAGGTTGCTTAACCTTGCTAGCAATTATTCAGGATGCTCCAGCAGACTGGATCTTCCCTTTGTTATCCCTTGGAACAAAATAAGCACAGAAGTCTGAAATGGAAGAATAAAATTATTATTTGCCTACATAAAGCTTCAGACTTGATGGAGCAGTAATCAGCAATGAAAAACAAGACAGCCAGAATCTGGAGAGCACAGAACTAGCAACCTTTCTTATCGGCTACATGGCATAGAAAGAGACTGAGCTCTGAGCAGGAATTAGTAAGGATTATTTTCCTATCATAATTTTTCCCACCAGGGAAAGCCAGGAATATGACCCTACTGAGTGCCCTTTCCATGCATTTACAGGAAGACTCCACGTGTCTTAACACTTTGATTATCTAGCAATGCATGGTATTTTATTTGGGCTGTGTCACTGCTTTGCACAAAAAGATGGACATTGTAAGCATGCTAAAAAAAAAAAAGGTGACTAGGAATGAGTCATTTGATCCTGAGTTTTGAATGAGTACAGTGGTACCTCAGGTTACAGACGCTTCAGGTTACAGACTCCACTAACCCAGAAATAGTACCTCAGGTTAAGAACTTTGCTTCAGGATGAGAACAGAAATCGCGCAGTAGCGGGAGGCCCCATTAGCTAAAGTGGTACCTCAGGTTAAGAACAGTTTCAGGATAAGAACAGACCTCCAGAACGAATTAAGTTCTTAACCCGAGGTACCACTGTAGTTTCATGTCTTCCGAATTCTGCCTGAAAAGAAACTGAAGTGAATGGCTGTGCGAAATTGTTTCTGTGTTTCCTCCAATGGGCAGGTTCCACCTTTATCTGTATGTAACCCCAGTTGTCCTCCAGGATCCCACAAGAAAAAGAAGGAAGGGGAAAAATTCTGCTGCTATGACTGTGCTCCATGTCCCCAAGACAAGATATCACCCCAGAAGGGTAAGTGACACAAGATATATACTTTTCAAACATTTGTCATATTAGACAGAGTGGAAGAAGTCAAAAGTACTTGTTATTTATTTATCATTATATGTATTTATTATTTAAATAAAGGCTATAATTATTTTCCAGTCTTAAATTCAATTTTCCACATTTCTATAGCAACTTGTGAATGTATTTTTAAAAATATCCTCATTAATATTTGTCAGCATTTGTCAGTATAACCTCCCCCCCCGCTAAACTAATTTTTGTATGCAGTTTTAAGAACATAAGATGTGTCTGTTGAGTGAGGCCAATGGCCAATTTAGTCCAGCATCTTGGCTATGAGTCTTGGAAGACTTCTATGCTTATGATAATATTTTATTCCCTTGCTAATTATGCTGTTTTAAATGTGCATTTTATGTTTGACTTTTTTTTTTAGTAATGTTTCCTTTAAGACAGTATTTTTGTTAACTTTGCTGTGTTAAATGTGCATTCTGTAGTTGACCTCCTTTGTAATATTTTATTTAGAAATCTTAAGATGATATTTTCGTTTCCTGTTAATTATGTTGCTTTGAATGTATACTTTATACTGAACTTTCTTCAGTAATGTTTTATTCTGGATTGTTTTACCTAAGAGAGAGAGCGAGAGACAGAGAGATAAAACTTTATTCGCATTAGCCAATGGCCATAGAAACAATAAAACATTACAGTATACGCAGAAAAGGAAATTTGATATTAAAGCACAATTTAAAGTCCTGAATCAGCAGTCAGTTAGTGGCCCTTATTCTGATTGCCCCTGCTATGAACCTAGAAACCTTTGCTGTTATCTGCTCATTTTGATCTGATAGAAGAAAGGACATTGTGGCAGTGGCTGAGCGCCCTGGGATGGTTAGTACGAGTGGGATGATTATCTCGTTCCTGAGGTCTTTGTAGAGAGTACAAGACAGGAGGACGTGTGCCGCTGTTTCGGTGCTACCATCTCCACAGGGGCAAAGGCGTTTCTCAGGCAGGATCTTTTGGAATCAACCCTCAAGTACTGCAGATTACAAAACACCCAGTCTTGCAAGTGTGAAAGCACGTCTGTATTTTGGGGTAATAAGTTTGTGCAGATATGGGGCCAGAGAATCAAAATGGAGAGGTGGAAAATGAGCATACCATGGGCAGAATTTCCTTATAGTGGCCAGGTTGTTCTGATGCTCAATATCTTTTAGACGTTGACCAGTTAGACTGTTTGCTTTATTGGGGCCCATAGTGAGTAGGTGTTGTGGCGATGTTTTAAAGCGGGTTGCAAGCAACTTAGATTCCCCCCCCCCTTTAAAATAAAAAGTGGTATAGAAATTTGATGATGGTGATGGTGATGATGATGATAGCATGCTGTTCACAAAATGGCCAACCAGATGCCTGTGGCAACCCCGCAAGTTGGCCATGAGCACAACATCACTCTGCCCACCTGTGACTTCCAGTAAATGGTATTTAGAGGCATGCCTTTGACAGTGGAATTAGTGGCTGGTAGCCTTGTCTATGAGTTTGTCTAATATACTTTTAAAACCATTTAAGTTGGTGGCCATCATTGCTTCCTGTAGGAACAAGTTCCACCAAGCACTCCATGAGTAAGTACTTTATTTTATCTTTGAATCTTTCAACATTTGCTTCTTCCAACAATAGCTTTTGGATGTCCACAAATTTCTCCATGCCATGCATGGTTTTCCAAACTTTTACCATGTAACCTTTTTCTAGCCTTTTCTCTAAAAAGTCTCAAACGCTGCAAACATTTGACTAATATACAGTGGTACCTCGGGTTAAGTACTTAATTCGTTCCCATAGGCGCCGACTCCATGGGGCCTGAGGGGGCTCGAGCCCCCTCAAAAAATTTTTTGGGGGGGCTCAGCCCCCCCAATAATCTCGGGCGCCCTTCCAGCAGAGCGCCGCCGCCGTCCCCCGCCTCCTCCCCACCTGCTCCCTCGCCAGCCAGCCAGCCAGCCGCGCGCCCTAGTCGGAGAGCCCCGGCCGTCCCCCGCGAGATTAGGGAATCCCCGGGGGCGGGGGCTCCTGCCTCGCTGCTTCGCAGCACCACCGCCACTGCCAAGGCACTGCCGGGGGGAATTTCCTTCCTCCTGGCCCCCGCGAGAACAGGGGAATCCCGACTGGCCACACCTCCCAGCCAGCCGATTGGCTGGCTGGGGGGCGTGGCTTGCCCTATTTAGGGCCGGAGCCACTTTATTTGCATATTCATGAGCTTATTTATTATTCATGAGCTTTCCCGGCCCCCCCCAATATTTTTTATAAGTCCGCGTCCCTGTTCGTTCCGGAGGTCCGTTGTTAACCTGAAACTGTTCTTAACCTGAAGCACCACTTTAGCTAATGGGACCTCCTGCTGCCGCCGTGCCACCGCCGCATAATTTCTGTTCTCATCCTGAAGCAAAGTTCTTAACTCGAGGTACTATTTCTGGGTTAGTGGAGTCTGTAACCTGAAGCGTATGTAACCTGAAGCGTATGTAACCCGAGATACCACTCTACACATTTTTGCAAGCAGAGTTCCCTTCTATAATGCATTTTGTATATCATTTTAACTAACATATGCCTGTGTATTGCACATATTTCCAATAATATATGCACCATTGTATGCATTGTTTTGTTGAAGAACTTCATCACAAAAAGTGTGAATTCTGAAGGGTAACTGTTTTGGTTCAAGTGTTCATATAACAAGCACAAATCAGGTCAAACAAAACCAAATCCCCTCTCCCCCTGCTCTACAGAAACACAGCCCCGAGATGCATACCGATAAAGGTACATGGTCCTTGAAGTAAAAAAATAATAATGCATCAATGGTTTGACTTAGTCTAAGACAATGTCCTTTGTTCCTGATCTGGACAATCAATACTAGGAAGATTGAAGATGTATTTGTTGCTGCCACCACTGTCCATGTGATGTAAGCCTACAAGGTATGGGTCTTGCCCACCTACACCACACAACGTGATTTATGGGAAGTAAGGAAGCCAGCATAATCTTTTTCTAATACCCCAACATACGTTGCTGAGGTGGGGTTCACATGCATCACATTGTATCTGGTCTACCTGGGATACTTCCAATTTAATCCTAAGCGTTCCATAATGGCAGCATTAGAAGTTGCTCTCCGATGAATAACAAATCTGAATGTTTTATTTTCTCTGCAGACATGAATGACTGTGTCAAGTGCCCAGATGATTGTTATCCAATCAAGGACCAATCAGAATGCATTCAAAAGACAATAAGCTTCTTGTCTCTTAAACAGCCTCTGGGGTTGAGCTTGGCAGTTTTTGTTCTTTCTCTCTCTCTCCTCACACTGGTGGTCCTAGTCATCTTCATTAAACATCAGGACACACCCATTGTCAGAGCAAACAATCGGGACCTCACCTACACTCTCCTCACTTTCCTCCTGCTCTGCTTTCTCTGCCCATTGATCTTCCTCAGCCCTCCAGAAAGAGTGAGCTGCCTGCTCCGACAAATGGCTTTTGGCCTTGTTTTTACAGTGGTCATTTCTTGTGTGCTGGCCAAGACCATCACGGTAGTCCTTGCCTTTGTGGCCACCAAACCAGGATCCAGAATGAAGAAATGGGTGGGGAAAAGACTGGCAAGCTCCATTGTGTTTTCTTGTTCCCTTATTCAGGTTGGTATTTGCAGTGTGTGGTTAGGAGCTTCTCCACCATTCCCAGATACTGACATGCATTCTGTGATGGGAGAAATAATACTAGAATGTAACGAAGGGTCAGTTGTCATGTTTTACTGTGTCCTGGGCTACATGAGCTTTCTGGCCATTGTCAGCTTTGTTGTGGCCTTTTTTGCCAGGAAGCTGCCCGATAGCTTTAACGAAGCCAAATTCATCACCTTCAGCATGTTCTTGTTTTGTAGTGTTTGGGTCTCCTTTGTTCCAGTGTACCTGAGCACTAAGGGGAAATACATGGTGGCTGTGGAGATCTTCTCCATCTTGGCCTCCGGAGCTGGTTTACTGGGTTCCATCTTTGGCCCCAAATGCTACATTATTTTGTTGAGGCCCAATTTGAACAACAAAAAGCAGTTAATAAAGAGGAAACTGTAATATATTCTAGTGTGCCTGTCTTTTCTTTCATACCACACTATAGTTAATATAGTATTTATTTCTCAGCTGTCTGTAATCATATAGTTATTTTGATTATTTGGTTGTAATTGTTTTGTGTCCTTTGTGTTGTTGTTGTTGGTGTCTTCTCTTGAGGTGTAAGGCTGTCAAAGGCTAGGAATTATACTATAAATAAAACTCTGCTAGTACATTAACTTTATATGGATTCCTTAAATCTCCCATATATTCCCAGAACAAAATTTTGATGTGGTCTTAAGATTAAACTATAATGATCCAAATCTTTTGTTGTGTTCAAACTCAATCTTCTTTGGAAATGCGTATTTTGGTAAAGGGCCCTTTTAAACTGTTTTGGGTTTTTTTGTGGGGGGGGGGGGAGGCAGTCTCCTCACTTTCCTCCTGCTCTGCTTCCTCTGCCCATAGATCTTCCTCAGCCCACCAGAAAAAGTGAGCTGCCTGCTCCGACAAATGGCTTTTGGCCTTGTTTTCACAGGGACCGTTTCTTGTGTGCTGGCCAAAACTATCACGGTGGTTGTGGCCTTTGTGGCCACCAAATCAGGATCCAGAATGAGGAAATGGGTGGGGAAAAGACTGGCTAGTTTCATTGTTTTTTCTTGCTCCCTTATCCAAGCAGGCATTTGCACTTTGTGTTTAGGAACCTCTCCCCCATTCCCTGATTCTGACATGCACTCAATGATGAGGGAAATCATTCTAGGCTGCAACGAAGGGTCTGTTGTCATGTTTTGCTGTGTCCTGGGCTACATGGGCTTTTTGGCCATTGCCAGCTTTGTTGTGGCATTTTTTGCCAGGAAATTGCCTGAGTGCTTCAATGAGGCCAAATTCATCACCTTCAGCATGTTCTTGTTTTGTAGTGTTTGGATCTCATTTGTTCCAGTCTACCTGAGCACCAAGGGGAAATACACGGTGGCTGTGGAGATCTTCTCCATCTTGGCCTCCAGTGCTGGCTTACTGGGCTCCATCTTTTCCCCAAAGTGCTACATCATTGTCTTGAGACCTGATCTGAACAGCAAGGAGTGCTTAATAAAGAGGAAATAATAAATTATCCTATCATCTTTTTCCCCCCTAGTAGAATGTGGGCAATATAATCTCTCATTATCCTTATTGTATAATTATATTTTTTTGTTTAGCTGCAATTGCTATGTGCAATTTATTTGAAAATTCTCTGTGGTCACTGTCAGACAGGTTTCCCTAATCATTTTGGACTTCATGGACTCCTTGCTGTTCAGGTCAGGTCTCAACACAATTGTAATGGTTCTAGGGGTTGCTCATGCATAAATCGACGCCACACCTGGCTGGGTTGCCTGAGTGAACCCTTTCTGTCTGGTCAGCCACTCGTCTGTGGCTGTCTCAATTGCTGGCAGAATCCGTCAGTGGGCGTTTCTTGAACTTCTTCCAGCAAAGAAGCTCTTTGACGCCTAGTCTCCCTGCACGGAAGCCTTCTGCGCAGGGAGGGTGTGGGCAGCGGAGGACCCGTGCTCTCCCCGCTGGTCCCTGGTGAGGAGTCATTGAGTCATTGAGCCGCCTCGCCGATTCCCCCATCTGCCCCCCTTTTCCACTGGTGCTACGCTGATTTCCTTCCCCAGAAGATGTGCTGCTTCTCTCCCTCCCGGGACGCTCTCCGGAATCCCTCTGGAGCCCTCCCTCTCCCTCTGGCTCCGATGGCAGTTCCCTGACAACAATGATGTAGCATTTTGGGAAAAAGGTGGAGCCCAGTAAGCCAGCACTGGAGGCCAAGATGGAGAAGATCTCCACAACCACCATGTATTTTCCCTTGGTGCTCAGGTACACTGGAACAAAGGAGATCCAAACACTACAAAACAAGCTCCCAAATGCCACATTAGAGACCTGACCAGACTATCAGAGAGCAATTAATAATAAAGTGAATGAAAGAAAGCAATATTTTTTTAAAAAATAAATAAAGCTGCCTTCCAATCATCCCTTTCTAAGTAATTTTCTAGGTTTATTAGTGGTGTTATGTAGTGTAGTTTCACCCTGGGCCAACAGGGGGATACTGTATATAGTTTTCACTCAGGTCTGTAGATAGTTTTCACTCAGGTCCGCGCCAGTTATTTTAGGCGGGAACTCTGGGCTGTTGTGGTTACAATGTTGACAGCCGGCTGCCTATAAATACAGGCCGGCTGAGCTGTTTGCAGTCAGTTCTATTCCAGCTTACTATAATAAAGAGCTACTTGAAGAAATCGCTGTGCCGGCTGCTATGTCAACCCACGACTTAACACTGGCGACGAAGGTGGGATAGATGGACATCAGAGCACAGCCAGATGCGGCCAGCCTCTGAACTAAGCTGAATCACTGAGCTGAATCACAGAGCGAAATCACTGAGCGAAATCACTGGGCAGAACCAATTCAGAGCTGACTGTTCTGGCTAGAGCACTGTGTTCCATCCATCGCCCTTCACGCCGGCATCGGAATCATGGCTTCACTTGTGCCTCTACCGCCGTTTGCACCAGCCTCTGAATCATGGGACTCCTACCTCGCTCGGTTCGACTGCTACCTCCAAGCCAACGAGCTGACAGCAGTATCAAAGGATCGGAAGCGGGGCCTATTCCTCAGCCTCTGTGGGCCTGAGGTGTTTGAGACGGCCCGAGCGTTGGTTGCGCCTGAAGCAGTCCAGGCAACACCATGGGACACGATCCAAGAGAAGCTCCGCAACCACTACGCACCAAAGCCGTCCAAGATTGCTGCCCGCCATGCGTTCTACCACCGGAACCAGGCAGAGGGGGAGTCAATCAACAACTACACCACCACCCTGTGACAGGCTGCAATGCACTGTGAGTTCCGAGACTTAGACGATGCCCTGATGGATCGAATCGTCTGCGGGGTCCGGGACATCCATCTGCAACGGCGTCTCCTAGCCAAGCCAGACCTCACGCTACAGAAAGCCATTGAGGAGGCTGTGGCCTCAGAAGCTGCCCAGGAGATCCGCAAGTCCAGCAGCCCGCGTCTTGCTAGGGAACCAGTTCCGGTGCATCATGAAGAGGCCAGCAGTGAGGAGGCATCCTCCAGTGAAGACGATGACGTGCACCAGACAAAGCGGGAGCGCAGGAAGTTCCAACAGAAGTCCAAGGGCCAACCGGAATGTGCTGGCTGCGGAGGCAACCATTCCTGTGCCAAGTGTCGATTCAGAGACGCCATCTGTAGGAAGTGTTCCAGAAGGGGCCACATCGCTAAGGTCTGCCGATCGGCTCCGTCTGACACCCCCCCTTCATCGACTCGCAAGTCCAAGTCTTCACTCCAGTCTGCCAAGGAAAGTTGTTTTGCTCTCACCAACTGCCGCTGCCCGTCTGGAACCACGATTGGCCAAACCGACTCGCCTACGCGACGCAAGCTGAACGTCACGGTGCTCATTGAAGGAGCTCCATGTGACATGGAGATCGACACCGGGTCTGCCCTGTCCATCGTGTCATGGAGCACCATCAAAAGACTGGTACCCAGAGTGTCCAAAAGGCAACTCGACTCTCACCGCGTACACCTGAGAGACTACCAGGGAAACGACATTCCCGTGGTAGGCGTTGGCCGGTTCCGGATCGCCTTCAAGGATTTTTCGGGCCTGCTCCGGTTGGTGGTGGTCGAAGGTCAGCGGCCAAGCCTCCTAGGGCTAGACTGGTTTGATGCCCTCGGCCTGGAAGTCACCGGCATCAACTGCATCTCTAACGCAGAGACTGAGGGTCTGGTCAAAGACTTTGCCGAGGTTTTTGACGGCACCTTGGGCCAATATACAGGTACGCCCATCTCCTTTAGCCTTGATCCACAAGTCGCCCCCATCAAGCTAAAGCCACGCCGGGTTCCCTTTGCTCTCAAGGCTAAGGTGGACGAACAACTGGACAAACTGATCGCCCAAGGAGTTTTGGAGCCGGTTGACCACGCAAAGTGGGAAACCCCCATCGTCACGCCTGTCAAGCCAGATGGGTCGGTGAGAATCTGCGCTGACTACAAGTGCACGATCAACAAGGCACTTCAGCAGCACGCTTATCTGGTTCCTGTTGTCCAACACCTGCTGCATTCCCTGGGTGAGGGTAAGGTCTTCGCTAAGCTGGACCTTGCCCAAGCCTATCAACAACTGCCAGTCGATGATGCCACTGCTGAAGCCCAGACGATCGTCACCCACCGGGGGGCATTCCGTTGCCGCCGGTTGCAGTTCGGGGTGAGTGTGGCTCCTGGCATCTTCCAAAGCCTTATGGAGCGTCTCCTGCAAGGGCTTCCGGGCGTGGTACCATATTTTGATGACATCTTGGTGTCTGCAGACTCACACCAGCAGCTGTTCGAGCGCCTCCGTGCCGTGCTGACCAGGTTCCAGGAGGCCGGGCTCAAGGTAAAGAGGGAGAAGTGCCAGATCGCCGTTCCACAGGTAGAGTTCCTGGGCTATCTTATCGATGCCTCCGGTCTTCATCCAACCACATCCAAGATCCGCGCTATCCAGCAGGCCCCCACTCCAAAGAACAAAACGGAGTTGCAGGCGTTCCTGGGGCTGCTGAACTTTTATAACATGTTCCTGCCCCACAAAGCCACAGTGGCTGAGCCTCTTCACCGACTCCTTAGCACTAAGACGCCTTGGGCCTGGGGTCATCGGGAGACGGCGGCCTTCAACGCGGTCAAGGCTCTCCTTTCTTCAGACAGTGTGCTGGTACAGTACAGTGAATCCAGGCCGCTGGTCCTTGCCTGCGACGCCTCACCTTTTGGCATCGGTGCTGTCCTTAGTCACCGTTTTCCAGATGGAAGAGAAGCACCGCTCGCCTACTTTTCCAGGACACTATCTCCGACGGAACGGAATTACAGCCAGCTCGACAAGGAGGCATTGGCACTTGTGGCTGGAGTGAAGAGGTTCCATGAATACCTCTATGGCAGGACTTTTGACCTCATCACTGACCACAAGCCACTCCTGGGCCTCCTCGCCGGTGATCGTCCAACTCCACCGGTCCTCTCACCATGCATGCTGCGATGGACTGTTTTCCTGGCTGCCTACCACTACCGGCTCATCCACCGCCCGGGGAAATCGATGGGCCATGCCGACGCCCTCAGCCGTTGCCCTCTTCCAGCATTTGTGGAAGACCCGGCTCCAGCTTCATCG